ATGATAATCTTGTAAGTTACAGTTACTTCGCTGTTTTCTGGAATCCAGGTTCCCTAGAATCTCCGACGGAATTGACCTGCACATCCACGGAATCACTAGGGGTTGAGGTCACGCTATCATCCATTGATGCACGTTACATTCTTATTCTCCTTGCTTTGGCGGTCATGATGATCATTCCCTAAGTGACATCGTCACATCGCCAGGCGCTTAAGAACGACATTTCCTTGACAAAATATCGTCGACCTCTGGTTTACGGTGGCGTGATATCGCATAAGTGCACCTGATTTTAGTCATTTGATTGAAGTTTTCTTACTGTTTGAGGATCCACATTCGTCTGAAGGAGGAAGACTACGAACCCATTCGCTGAGTGAAGTTATTTCAAAAGTAGTTTAGATTCTAATTTAGTTTCGGATGCATTCATGGAGGTGAGGTTATCAATCGAGTTGTTATCAGATCCCCAATCATTTGTTTGTCAAAGGAATGATATGCGCTCGAAAACAGCCAACCCACCTCCATTTGTCCGTGTTTCACCAATGCAAGAAACGTCCAAACCAGCATTCTGAGACGGTAAAAGAATTAATATCGCCTCGGCGGTTTGTCTCATGTGCTGATTCGTCTGATATGACATTCAACCTCGCTCGCACGTTGGACCAGCGTGGTCCACGTATATTTCAGCAGACCAGTACTTCAGTAGCATTGAAGTAATATTGTTGCATGTGAGCTTCTTGCTCCAGATAGTGGAAATAAATTCAAGGGAACTAAATAGTGTACCACAACCACAGGTGCGCCCAATTTTCCCTTAATTTTCCATTGAATAGAGAGAATCACTTCTTTTGTGAGGCAGTATATGTTCGAAGAGTCTGTCGATTTTATTTCGCTCACCCGATACATTCACAGTGCATGCAGTTCGTGAGTTACATCTACGTTCTATCCGTCATAGGCATGGCTCTGGTTGTACACAAATTCGGTTCATTCCGGTATCTCAATCATTATGCAACAATATTTATACGAGTCAACGTTTGCTTAGCATTTGTTTCGAGAACACTCAACCCAGATTGCTTTGTTCGCGGAAGGCGAAAATGTGGAAAATACAAATTGTTTTTAATGAAAATCCATGAATAACAGCGCCGTCCGGCTATTAGTCGAACTTTGGGGTGACAACGTGTCCAACAAATACGGGCACTGTGGAATCACACACGAGGGCGAAGAAGAACGGATGGTCGACAGAGATTGTCTTAAGCAGCTGAGCGCTGCCACACACAAAAAATAAGGTCGCGGCTGCTGCTGTCACCCCTTCTTCATCAAGCTGGATATAGAAGGAAAACGAGAACAGGATTATGAGCTCAGACGTTATAAACTACTCAGAACATTGCCGAAATTCTCCCAGGGCTCGTTTCTGAATGGGTGAAACAAGAGATCTGGTCAAAATATGGGCTATGAGGTAGACATTTGCAGAGAATACAATGTCCTTTATCTACAATTTATTAAGAAATTACTTATTTA